ACTGTCAGTGGGGAATCTGTACAGGCGATGTCAGGCATCCTGATCGTATTTGTGGAAATAAAATTCACAGATTTCCCAAATCTGATACGGAATGCCTACCTTGGTTCAAAGCTTGCGCACGAACGCATTTGCAGCTCAACCGTCGTAGGATCAATAAAAACAAAGGAAGGAGTGTGTGCTGGTGTAAGTATTATTACTTTGCTTTCTTTGTGTTTAGTGAATGGGGATATTCTGAGTGGCCCTGCCAGACTGGCGACCTGTCCTGGGTGACCCCGCCTCTCGCCCGGAACGTTAGCTAGAGATAGGCACCAGCACCTCCCGATACCTTTGGGATTTTGAAGCTTGAAATATTGTAAGGTCTTAAGGAGGCCTTATGTGTGAACAATGACCCCCATGTCTGAAAAAAAAGTCAATAATAAACACATTCATTATGAAAACCTTTTAGCTAAGTACAGCATAATGGCAGTACTCATACAACTTCTACACCTTGAAGCCTGTCTGTTACACAGTCTTACGTTAGCTGAACAGATCAATATGCAATGTGTATCTGACATACATTACAGATTTTATTTTACCTGAAAAGGCTTTTTACTAAACTGTAATCGTGTTAGCCACGCTAGCACCGAGTACAGTGCATCAGGCCTAGGCACACTCAAACATTTGCCAACAACAGAAATCACTGATTTCAAAAGTAACCCTCAAAACCATGAATGCCCCCAGCCTTGCAAGAACAACAGGCATCAGTGATCTTGTCCACAGTATATTTATGCTGAGGGTGTGAGGATCTGCTGTTTTCCTCATCGACCGGTAGCATTTAGCTGCGAGGCGCACAATGTTGGAGGCATCGCGTGGCTCAAACACCTTGATGTCGTCCAAAAAAGATGACAGGAACTTGTTTGTTCCCCTGTCCATTGTCGTGGCTGATATTTTTTGAAAATCCGGCAGAATTGCTACACTAATGGACTCAGAAATACTTTGTAGAGAGTCAGTTGAAACGAAAGACGCCATGTTAATACATAGAAACTAAGCTCTGCGAGGCTTTGTTTGTGAGACATGCAGCCACGTGGGACTGTCGAGGGGCGTTTCTGGGCGGGGCTTGGTAAGGTCCATAATGAATGGAGCCGTTTATGATTGATTTTTTAAATTGTTTAGCAATGAGAGCCAATAGTAAAATTTAAAAAAATATATATGAAAACAGGAAGGAAGCTAATAGAAAAGAACCACAAGTACTAGTGATGGTCTTTTGTGGCGCACTGGCTCTTTGAAAACATTCGGATATCCGAATCAATGCCACATGGAAGCGGCACAGATCGGATATTTTAGGAGGGGTGAAACGATCAGATTGCGGTGAAAACGCCGGATACAAATCGCGTTTGCCTGCTGTGTGAACATAGCCAGAGACAGATAACAGAACCACTCACCAAGCTGTCCTTGGCAAATATCCGTCCTGTTCGCATCACCGACGATGAACTTAGGGTTTTCACATATCTCCTGTAGAAGTGACAGAAAAAAACAAGAAAGGAAACAGGTTGGTTGATTTTAAAGGCCACACCAGGAGCATTCCTGATAGGCGTGTTCACATTCCAAACATATCAATCAGTCTGAAATCCCAGTCAGTCACTAACTGAAAATACACACAGCACCACACACCAAGATGGCAGCTGAAGCATTTACTCAGAAGAAACGCCCCGAGGAAAAATGTACAGAGATTGTAACAAAGTAGAGGGGTGAGTTTTTTTTTCCACTAGATGAGATACAAAGGTGGGGTAAAAATGGGTTAATGGGTAAACAAAGAGATGAAGAGAAACCTGCAAACCAGCTACTGACATTTTTACTACAGATACGTTAAACGTGGATATTATCTACTCCATTTACAAAAAGTTTCAGTCAGATCAGGTTTGTTAACTGAGAGTACAGCTGAAATGATTAATCGTGATTAATCGATTATTGAAATAATCACGCGAACTAATTTAGTTATCAATTAATCGTTAACTGGAACATAGACTCAACAAAGGCCATTTTGTGAAGGAAAAAAAACATAATCAGAGCAATAATTAAGCCAAAAGCATACTACATATACATATATATATATATATATATATATATATATATATATATATATATATATATATGTGTGTGTGTGTGTGTTTTGCATTTAAAATGAAAGCATATTTGTCTAAAATTGGCATATTATTAGCTTAACCCAGTTTCGAATACACTAAAGTACTAATGTGGTATTGCAATTTAGACAATAAAATGTTTGCTTTCTTGTTTTAAAAAAATAATGTGAATTATTTATTTTCATGTTTGTATGTTTTTTGAATATTGCATAAGAAAGCTTATGTGGTTAAATGAAAAATCTGTAGAATGTGCCGATTTATTGTATCCAATTAATCAATTAATTGATAGATTAATCTAAAATAACTGTTAGTGACAGGCCTAGTAAAAACACACAACACATAAAAAGTTCATAACATTAAACTTTCCCTTCATTTCCTTCTTCGACTTTGCTTACACTGCAAAAACACAAAATCATACTAAGTATTTTTATCTAGTTTATAGTGCAAATATCTAAGAACTCTTTAAATATGACAAAAACTAACTTTCAAGTAACTTTTCAGCAGTACGTAAGAGTCAATAATTCCTTGATGTCGATTAATTAAGAAAGTACTAGTTCCACTAGCAGATTATTTCACTTATAATTAGTACTTTTTCATTAAGGAATTAGCTCCTATATCTTGCAAATTAGTTTTCTCTCATTCCAAGTGTACTAATATATTTGTGCTAGAAACTAGACCAAATATTACTTTGTTAACCTTTTGTGTTTTTGCACTGTATCTTTCATTTACTAATATAATAAGTAAATATATTTCTTTTCAACAGATTTTTGCGTCCCAAACATCAACCAGCTGTGATGTTTCAAAGCCTACATACCCGCGGCCTCTTCCATTCGATCTGCACAGGAACGCTCTGGCTGAAGAAGAGCGAGGAATCAGCTGCGGGGAAGTCCGGGTCCTCAAACAGAACCCCCTTCTGGAGACACTCCTGCCTGAGCTGCTCAAACGACTTCCCGTCCCACTGAGAGTTCACCACCTGGTTGGAGTTCCTGCCGGACAGAGTGGACTGCAGAGGCATTCTCTTCTTCGGCGCACGGAGGAGGAAGAGGAGAAGAAGGTGTGAGGTGAGCTGCACCTGACAGAGTGGTGGATGTAGGGAAGAGTGTCGGCTGGGTAGAGCTGGTTGGTGATCACACCCCAGGCAGACAGAAACTGGTTTGTCCTCCAGGTAGAGAGCCACTCCCTTTCTGTCAGTCTCACTGGGCTTGGCCTGCAGGAGGACACACGCGTGTTGACAAGGCAACAGGAGCATTCACAAAAAAATAGTTAAAGAAACCTGCATAGATAGACAGGAAGTGATTTTATTGTTTTTGAACTACATTTCCATGAAATCTATTCATGATGTAGTAAAAGTAGGTCCACATGAAGTTCTATTGGAAAGTAAATGCAAAAACACAAAATATTACCAAGTCTTGTGTGTCTAGTTTCTAGAGCAAATATCTTAGTACATTTGAAATAAGACGAAACTAACTTACAAGTAACTTTTCAGCAAGATATAATGGCATGTTTAAAGTAAATAATTCTCTATTATTGATTAAAAAAAGTACTAGTTCCATGTGCAAATCGTTTCACTTATAACATGAAAAATCTCTTATTAGTTTAAACAAATTGCCAGTGAACTTTTTTTTTTTTATCAGCATTAAAAATATTGACTTAAAACAAGCTCCTATATCTTGCAGAAAAGTTACTTGTAAGATAGTTTTGACTTATTTCAACTGAAGAAAGATATTTGTCCTGACAAAATACACCAAAAGTACTTGGTAAGACTTTATTTTTTTGCATTGTTGTTTTAAATTACATAATCTGCCAGTGGTGCTGATATTTATTCGTCAACATTAAGGAATTATTTGCTTAAAACAAGCTCATATATCTTGCCAAAAAGTTACTTGTCTGTTAGTTTGTTGTATTTAGATATTTGCACCAGAAACTAGATCAAAAAACCTGGTAAGATTTTATGTTTTTGCAGTATAAGCAATATAAATGAAATAAATGAAAGGAAAATGTGGTTTTATTAACTTTTTATATGTTGTATTTGAACTTGGGCTGCAACAGACAATTCTAGTAAATGTTGTATTTTTGCAGTGAACTAGCATTAAATTAATCTGCAGTATAACGGGAAATCTCCATTTTTGTGAAACACATTGAGATTACCAGCCTCTAGATAAACTCAAGCTAAAATAAATCAAGTTGACGTGGAAACAACAAAACAAACTCCACTTCCTTTATAAAACACAACTTCTACGTTTCCTTTAAGGCCTGAAAGATCCATGTATCATGAGATGCAAAGATAATTACAGATTATCGTTTATGAATTATATATTTTACTGTATGCAGGGTTTGTGAAAGAAATCTTAAGTCAGATCTACAGGGCAGAGAGCGACTTGTTAAGCAACTTCAAAGATCTGGACAAGCTGGATAGTTGACTGCATGTGTGCATGCTTACGCAGTCGCTCACATTGTTCTGTGCAAGGTGTGAACCAGAATCGAGCTTCGACAAACAAGGGGAAGTGAATGTTCACCTTGATAACAGGAAACAAACATGTGGATTTCTTTATTTTCATTATTTTGTACTGCACTTAGCTGCTGCAGAAGGCAGACATACTGTAGTCTGAAGATATTCTGTTCGAAGTAACTAGTTACATTTTCTTGAGTAATTTTTTACTTTTACTTGAGTAATATTCTTATTAGGTATCACTACTCTTGAGTAAAATTCCTGAATACTCTCCCCACTGAGTGACTTCATTGAATAAAGAGCAAGTTTATGACAAAGTGAGACCTCTTGTTTCTAGACAATCTTTGTTTCTCTACTGTTATTTTCTATCTGCTGAGCTTCTAGAGTCACTTATGGAAATAAAACATCCCAAACATTGTATTCAAGTAACAGTCGCACTATTTCAGCATGTTTTTAGTCAAGTAAAAAGTTCAAGAAATTATTCAAAAGTAAAAAGTACTGAGTAAAATTATCAATCATTTAATATTTAAAAATTACATCATCAGATGGACTAAAATATAAAGTGAAAATTTTGGTACTTTAAGGACAATAATTCATGTAAGTAATAAAAAATAATGAAATCAGGCAAAATAAATTTTTCCAGATCAGTTTTTAAATGTTAAATTCATGAAACTAACAAAAACTGCAGGTGTGTGTTTGTGTCTGGTGACTTTTTGATTAAAACATTTGTTTTTCATTCAGTGGGTAGAAAATCCAGAAATTTTACTCAAGAAAGAGTAAAAATACTTCATAATAAAATTACTGAAGTAAATGTAAGTAGTTACTACACAACTAAGCCTGTGTGGATGTAGTGGGAACAGGAAATGTACACAGAGCTGCTGAAACTTACAAGTTTATTCCAACTGCAGCAATAAGCAAGTTATCAATAATGTTATTGTTCATAGAAAAAAAAACAAAAAAACATTTTTCCCCTTTTACTGGTGCTGTGCATCCAGATTCCTATGGAACAGAGTGAAAAATGCCCAGAAACGTATTTACACTTCATTTACAGTACGATAAAGAATATATCATCAGGTTTCAGAAACAGAAAATCCTTTTTTTTTTTTGTTGCTGATTGTTTTGGTGCTTTCTTACGATACCATGAAAAACTACGACGGAATATTAGGGCCACGAAGTTTAAATAAAACGAGATTAAATAAAAAAAACACACATGAAGTTGTAGTATTACAAAAATAAAGTTGAAATATTACAATAACATCATAATACTGATGACAAATTCGACTCTTTTCTCTAAATATTACAGTTTTTAGACTCGAAGTACGTTGGGATTATTCTTGAAATGAGTTATTTTCACATTTGTACGACTTTGTCCTCAAAATATGACTGCTTATATTGTGTATTACGATTCGTAATGTTATAACTTTTTCATAGGATTCTTATTGTAGAACTTTTTTCTCGTAGTTTATTTTAGTAAAATGACTTTTTTCATATTATTACAACTTTATTCTTAAAATGTGACCTGTTTTATTCTCATTATTCCAGCTTTAACCTGGTAATTTTATTTTACTTATGGCCCTCCTACTCCATCGTAAAAACCACGGCGTCTGCAGAAAACACGGCAACATTTCAGTAACCAGGCTTCCACGATATTCTACATCAACATGAATGAAACTGTGGAAGTGAAATCGGAGCGGAGTCGTTTGTTGCTACGGCTCGGTTTTCTCCAGCGCCGTTCCTGTGACCAGCAGCAGGTTGCAGGCCATGAACTGGACGTTCAGGACGTTGCTGGTGTTTCCCACGTACTGACCCACCAGCTCGCCGGACGAGCCGTCGGCGGCCGGCGCCCCGCCGTGCGCGCTGCGGATGTCCCAGACGCGGACGGAGTTGTCTATGGAGGAAGACGCCACCAGGCTGCTGTCCGGGCTGAAGGACAGGCTGGTGATGCTGTCCGCATGGCCGCGCAGCTCTTTAAACAGCGTCCCCGCCGCCAGGTCCCACAGCTTCACCCGCTGGTCCTCGCCGGCCGACGCCAGGTACTTCCCGTTCGGCGAAAAGGCGAGCGCCAGCACGGCACCGCGGTGGCCCGTGAAGAGCCGCACCGACTGGCCCTGCTGGGTGCTCCACAGCCGCACCGTTTTGTCCGTGGAGCCGGTGGCCAGGTAGTTGGAGTTGGGGTGGAACTTGACGCAGTCGACGTCGGACAGGTGGCCGACGTAGAGCCGCAGCGGGTAGGAGCGCGAGAAGGTCCAGAGGCGGGCGGTGCGGTCGTGGGAGCCGCTGGCGAAGTAAAGACTGCAGGGGCTGATGTCCAGGTCCCACACCGGGTAGCCGTGGCCCTGGTACAGCACCGTATTGGTGAAGCTGCCCAGGTCCCAGTAGCGGATGGTCGAGTCCTCGGAGCAGGACAGCAGGCCGGAGCTGTCGGTCAGGAAGGCAGTGCGATAGACGGGACCGCTGTGGCCGCGCAGCATCTTCACCTCGCTGCCGCAGCCGTCCTCCTCGTCCACCTGGAGGACGACAAAAAAGATCAGGACACGTCTGGACATAAACGCACATACGGCGACGTATTAGAGCCATTATGTACATGTTTACATGAATATATATATATAAAAAAGGAGTAAATGTCCGCCAAAAAAAGACAGAAATTTTTAGATTAATCTCAGAAATTTTGAAGAAAAATTGGAAATTTCTGAGTTTAAAATGTCGACAGTTTAAAAACATCCAAATTTTGAGGATAATCTCTAACTTTTGAATTTCAAAGTTAAAAATTTGCCAGAAAAAAACTCAAAAACTGAGATTAATCTGATAACTTTTCTAAAGCAAAAAACTGAGAAATTTGTTTAGTTTCAAAAGTTTAAAATTTGCAAGAAAAAACTCTGAAATTTTGAGTTTGATCTTAGAAATGTTCATGAAAAAAACCAGGACATTTCTGAACTCAAAAAATCAAAAATATGTGAGAAAGATTTTCTAGAAATATCTTGAAAAAGTCTGAGTTTTAAATGTGGAAAATTTGTGTCTTTTGAGAATTTTTAATCTCAAAATTTCCTGGAAAAAGGGTTCTGAGTTTATTTCAGTTAATGAAAATGTTCTCTCACTTTCAGTTTTAGTTGACTATCGTAATGTTGATCTGAACTCTTAAAGTAAAGGCCACTAGTTTTGTCGGCTCACCTCCTCCTCTTGCACGTCGCACGCCAGGTGGATGTACGACACGTCGGCCTGGTGCGGTTTGGCCTTCAGCTTCCTGGCCCGGAGGCTCCACAGCTTCACGGCGGAGCTGTCGAACCCGGCCGCCAGCAGCCGGCTGTCCGGCGAAACCTCTGCCGCGTTCAGCATCTGCTCCGTGTGGTGGAAGGCGTAGAAGCAGATGGTGGTGAGCGACGGCGGGCCTTCACGGACTTTCTTGATGCAGTCCTGCAGCGCCAGAAGCGCCACTTCGTTCTGCGGGATCCCGGCGGGAACCTCCACCGCCTCGGCGCCGCCCTCGCCTCCGCCTCCGCCCGCCCAGGAGCCGGCGTTGGCGGCCGCCATGGAGCCAGCGGCGGCTCCGTACAGCTGGTACTCGGTTCGCCTGGAAGCGGTGACCTCCACCTGCAGGTGTGTGCTGAGCGCCCTGCAGATGGCGCTGTTGTCGTCGCTCTGCAGGTAGCGCAGCAGGTAGCTGTGCGCTGGCTCCGTCAGGTGAACCACATACTTATGCTCCAGGAAAGACCTCAGCTTGGGATTGGCGGCGACGTCCTGCGCCGTGACAACGTGGCGGAGCTGCTCCACCACCGACCGCTGCTCCCCGTCGTGAAGAAAGGCGTCGTGAAAACGGACGTAGAAGCTGTCTACTGCCCCCTTCAGGCCGCAGTGCACCATGTCAAGGTGGAGATAAACGAAGAGAGGGTAGAGGAGGCTGCTGACCTCCTGGGCATATGAGATTTCTGTTTCTGTTGGAGGAAAAATAGGAAATAATCTCAACATTCAGGATCAAAAAAGGCCTTAAAAGTTCCCATTTAGAGCTGCAACTAACGATTATTTAAGTAATCAATTATTTTATACAGGGTTGTTTGTTTGACACCAAATTTTTTTAAGTCAGGGGTAGGGTGTGGTTGCTTTACTAACCTCTTTTCACTGTCACAAATGTCTAAATCTAAACTCTATGGAGGTAGATATGTGCCAATATCCTCCTTCACCAGCTCTGTTTACACCAGAGCTGCTTCTTCTACTGGGTTGAACAGGAATATGAACATTGCTGCCATCTAGTGTCTAAAGGCTGGTTTTGCAGTCAAGCAAGAATAAAGACTATTTGAGCAGTAGAGGATGTTACATGCAGTCAAAGTGTAGGTGTGATACCTGAGAGGAAGCAGCGGAGCCTGGAGAACTGGACCTCATACTGCTGCGGGTCGGGCTGGCAGGGAGCAGCAGAGACAATGTTGGCATAGCCCGACTCCGTCTGCACTGCTCACAGCGAGGAGGAAATCACTTTGGTTACATGATGACTGTATTTTAAATAACGGCCAAAGAAAGAATGAGCTCACCAGTCAGACCAGCAGCCAGCTCTTCTGTGGACTGGAAGAGCTTGGCTCCTTTCAGGGAGCTGTCAGTATCCACATACTGTCTCCTCTTCAGGTACTGAGCCACAGCGTACTGGATCTGCTCGGCCCGGACCCGTTTCATGACCTGACGGGAACGAAAACATCAACGCTCAGGCCTCCAAATCCAAGCAGGGAATCCATCAAATCCATCATTCTTTGTTACTAATTTATGAGGAGCTTGATCTAAAACCAGCTGGAATGACAGAGTATGGCAGGGCGGTATGGATTAAAAATAAACTATTTTTCCATCCAGATCCCATTTTAAATCTTTTTTTTTTCCCCTAAAAAAAGAAATTACAAATGACGAGAAATATTTTCAAAAAGTGGATTTTATTTCAATCATCCCTTCTATGAGTTGTACGATGAAGAATTATGGCTGGGCTAGGAGAATTTGTGTTCAATTACAACAATATCGTTATTATATTACCAGTATAAAGACGCAATTTTACCAGAATAACATCTTAAAATTATGAGAAAAAAAATTGTTTTATAGAAAAAAAGCGTTGACAATTATTTCTATCTGTTATGATGGAGTTCTCCTAAAATTACTACTTTATTCTTCTAATATTAAGACTTTATTCTCATTATTTCAACTTTGTCATGTGACATTATTCTCATTTTACTGTCTGTATTTTTTTTAACTTTATGACTTTATTTTTGTGGAAAAAAATAATAATCTTAGCCTATCCTTTATATTTTGTAAAGTAAAATTAATTTCATAGAATCCACATTTCCCCCCCCCCCAATTTTTTTTTAAAAAAAAAAAAAATTTAAAAAAATGAAAAGAATGAGGAAAAAATTTAAAAAACCAAGGAATCC